TCAACAGCGGCGGTCAATTCCTCGGCTCTTCCCGACTGTTCCAAGCTAGAGTATCTGTTCTATGTTAGCATACAATGCAGACGTAATTTCCAAGGAACTACATACTGGAACAGCTCGTCGGGTGTGAGCAGGTTGTGTGGTGTGAGATGAGTAGCCGCCCAAGCAGCCAATGTACTGTCTTGGTGAAGGGCATCCCTCGCGGCCTTCGCGTCGAAGGACGGGTCATAGGTTTGCAGGATTCTCACAGTAGCATCAACATCCATGACAGGCACGTGTCAAGACAGACGACACGGTTGGAGCTTGAAACTGCCACCCATCAGTACCCGTAGTCGAGCTTATTACACAATTAAGGAGTTTCGATACGCAGGGGTCGTTTTAGCGGTGAGCCTGAATTACCGCGTACCTAGTGCCCGCTAAACGACCCGCTAATCAGGTACTTTAGTGGGGCGATTTGCAATAGAGCTCGGACCTCGGTGGGATCAACCTTACTTCAACCTTCAACCTTGAGCAGTCGCTTCAATCATGTACGACGATGGCGCCTACAGCTGGTAGCCCAGCCATCGTGTTCGATTTAACCACCGTGGAAGCATCTTAGTCACAATTACCGGTTCAGGGTTTCGACTCGGTGGCATTTGCATGCACAATGATGATTCTCTCGATCCAACGAAGCACGTTCATAACCACGACAACAAACGAGTTACTAGGCGATTCAGACCTTGTTCATACCAAGAATTCAACTCAACTTTAGCAGAATAGAATCCGTACACCGAGGCAATGATGTGGTTAGCTGCTTTTGTTTGCTACAACTATGTCATTTTATGTCATTACAAAACTCTATCGTGTCGCCGGTGGACAACCCAGCAACTATTCGGAACCCTTGGGGACGCTAAATCGTTCACCGTCTACACATCCGCTACATTGCCAGCACATAGAGAATCGATCTCATTTGTGATGTCCTAGGAAGTGCGGACACACCTTGAGGCTTGTGCCAGTGATCAACCGTTGTTTCGGGGACGGACAGCTGCATGTCCTTGTTCACAGCCCGCGCCGTGCGACAAACAGCCTAAGGCCCTACACTGGCCAGCAAGCTGTGTGGACTCGGGTCCCTGCCATCGACTCGTTTGTCTGAGCCCTTCTGGGCAAGTGCCGGAATTTCAGGCCGTATCTGGCCACCGATTGGCAGGATGGACCAAGAGGAAGCACGTTTCGAATTTCTGGCTGAGGTTCAAACACTGATGGCTCGTCTATCAGATCCTACCGTCACATTCGAACCCCGGTCTCCCGTCTTCGGTATCTCTTCCGCCATGTTTCCTCCCGACGCCTCCAACGCCTCTGCCCTGCTACATGGCTCGATCCGGCCTGGGTCTCGCTAAGTCTGGAAACTGTTCACATTTTCTCCCCTTGTCAACTGACCGCCACCGGCAGTTAGCTGATACTGACTTCCCCACATGCGTCGAAAGACACGCAGCTGCAAACAGAGCCGTCATGAGTGACTGGGAGACACGATATACGTGACAGTTCTTCGTACCTCCACCTCAGACGTCTCGTTCCACGCGCAGTCAAAAGGACACACACCGGTCTTCAGCTCAGACTCTCCCGGGTTGTGTCTCCCGATGCCCGCCAGCTGATCATGGCAATCGCTCCAACAGCTTACTTCAGGTGGCCGTGATGATGGACTCTGGGACACAAACTTTTGGGTTGTTCCCTTGGTGCGAGGTCGTGTTTTCTCCTTTGTACAAGTGTACCAGCCTGGCCGAGCCGTTCCTGGGTGCTGTGATCACTCTGTCCAACTTCAAATATGCACATTGCCAAGTATCTCTTTCGCCGTCTAACTAGCCAGAGATCTTAGCTCCGTTATGCTTAAAAATAGGACTGGACCACTTACAACGACAATCGCGCGACGTGTCGACCTATGATATCACCTATCGCCAGCTTTATCGGATCGGGCCTGAACAAACGAGAGAGGTTCCTGCCGGCTAGCGAATCCATCACCCCTAGCCGATGATGAAGGATGCACATCACGGCATCACCTATCGCACACTAGACCCACGACACGTATCCAACATGGTTCATCTCCACCCTGCTTCTGCTGTACTTTTTTCTTCGGACCGGCAATGGTGCAGCAACATGACCCAGTAAACAGCCGGCCGCTCAATGGGAGGGGACGTGGTGCCTTGCCTGTGCTGTGGCAAGCAGGAAACACAGGGTCCACGCATTGCATGCGGCGGTATACAAACTCCAAGTAGTTCGATGCGGTGTATGCGGCAGAAGCTGTGGCTCATGTAAAGTCCCAGCAGTTTGCTGTCCTTTGGCTCTTTAAATATGGAAGCAGAAGTCTCTTCGACCTTGTGTGTCTTGCCTCAGCTGTTCGTCTTGTCTCATGTTGGACGCTTCTAAGTCTCATTTCGGCTATCATTGCCAACCTCGAATACCAACATGTCTCCATCACTATGTCGAGGCCCAGTGGCCATCGTTGTCAATGGTCTGAAAGCTTCAGCTATGGGCTTATTCGCACAGCTACTCATGTTTGGCCTAGAGATGGCCATGGAACTCACAGCCTTCCCCTTTCCCTGCTCCATACTAGCGATGATACTGGTCTTCCTCGTCTTGCTTGCTGTGGGAGGTGTATGGAAGAATTTCAATCACTTCTATGACAATCACCTTCGGAAACCGGTACGTCTATTCAAAAGCAGAGCTTGGTCACAGAGACATTGTCTTGCTCGGTTGATGCTGACTGAAACCTCAAGGCCAACCTGCTCAACAGACACATGTCTATCGGCTTCTCAGTTCCAATAGTGATGCTCGCCCGCCATTCCGTGGCCCCGGGTGATACAATAGCCAGAATTATAGCATGTTTCAGTACGTGAACGCAGATGGTCGATGACAGTGAGACATTCCCCCAGCATGGGCTAACGGTCTTCTCTCTTAGTAATTGCGGGCATTCTCTCAGCTGTTCTGGTGTACGTCCTGGCTACTGCCACTCAGCATCTACTTGAGCTCGGGATAAGACGCATCAGCAACTATCAACGTGACGTACGGCCGACTGATGAAGAGGCGGCATATACGATGGACGAAGCACAGACGAACAAGTGCCGTCTAAGTGTAATTATGGGCAAATCATCAAAGTACTCATCTCAGGTCTCCTCGGTGGTCAGCTTCCAGGATCCGCGTCAAAGCAGTAATGGTTACAACAGCTCAAGCGAAGGCCGAGACAACGTATCTTCACCGACCTCTAACTCGTCCAAAAAGATCGTCCTTAACAAGTCAGACACCTCACATTCACGTTCGAGACGCTTAAAAAACTGGATACTCCACAATCTCTTCCTAACCTTGAGCTGGACCAGCACTATCCTTATCACCATCCCGCTCCGCCACACCAGAGACATGGAGATACCCCTCGGCATTTCCCTCCTCCTCTCCCTCTGGACCTCTTTCCTCACCCTGCAAGCAGCCATCAAAACAACCAACTCTGCCATTCTTCGCCCCAAACTCCGCACAGTGCTTTCCGTACTCTGTAATCCAGTGTTGTGGACCGCCCTCGGCCTCCTAGCATACACCTCCGCCGAAAGCCACCGCACCAACCGCCCAGTCGCCACCGTCCTCTCCACCCTCGAACAAAACACAACCTTCACCGACCTCATCATGCATCGACCACGCACTCCGATCCCATACCACTCCCGTCCCATCCCCTCCATCGCCGCCGGTGACGTCGCCAACGCCATCCTCTCCAGCGGCCTGGTATGCTGGGGTCTCAAACTGTGGGAGCATCGGCGGCGCCTCCTCTCCAGCGCAGGGTTCACGATCCTACTAGTCTCCTGCATGGCGGCGTTAGTCAACGTGATCGCCGGCCCGCTACTGGCCAGGGAGGTACTGGGACCGAGGAGTCAGGCAGGCTACGATCTTGCTTTTGTGGCGAGGAGTGTCACGCTGGCACTGGGTGCGCCGGCGGTGAGTCGGTTGGGTGGTGATGTTGGGTTGAATGCGGCGATGGTGGTGGTTAATGGGATCTTGTACCAGATGGCGCTGGGGCTGGGGTTTGGTGGGTGGGTTGCACGACGGGTGAAAGATCTTGCAGAGTGGTTGCGTCGAGTGGGGAGAGGACGGCAGGAGGAGGAGGGTACTGTTGGTGGCGTAGGCGGTGAGAAGACTATGGTGACGGATGGGGGAGGGAGGACTGCCCTGATCGGGACTAGCGGTGTGCTGGGTGCAGCAGGTCGACTGGGCGTGCCGGATCATCTGCTACGGCCGAGAGAGGGGACTACACTGGGTGAAGCCTCGCCATCTCAGACACGTGCTACTATCGAGATACTCGACGATAACAAGACGACGAGTATCAGTACAATAGCAGCTGGTGTGACGATCGGGATCAACGCCGCCGCCATGGGCACAGCGCATCTGTATGAGTCGAACTCAGATGCCGCACCATATGCTGCACTGGCCATGACTGCGTTTGGCGTTGCTACTGTTGGGTTTACCATGGTTCCGCAACTAGGGGGTTGGATTGCTTCCATGGTCCAGTAGTGCTCGGGTGGCTGAGGTAGGGGAGAGGGGAAAGGCATAGAAGTACATATCATGAGAAAGGGAGAACAGGCTGGGTTATTGTTATGGCTTTGCCACATAACTGGCCTATGTTTCTATCAGATGGGCAGGGTGTGTTGGTGGTTACGGGCGTCATATACCCCTAGACGACGCTGGTGTAATCGTAGATGGAGGCATTCATAGGATACACTTGGGTCTGTCTCATTAGTACAAGCAACTACGGTTGTGTAGTACATGAATCCGAGCAACAATTTGGCAATAGTTTACCAAAGCAATCGGCAGAGATAGTATCGGCAATGGCTAGAGCGAAGTAATCCTTGTGGCAAATAAGGGCAGGTAGGGTTGTCGCTATTGGCCGTGCAGGTTTGAGACGTGCCTGAAGATGAGGAGGCCCTTCGAAACCTATCCCAGATCTGGTTGTGAGATGGCCAGTAATCAAAGGTCAAGAGCAAAAGAACAATCGCCCAGTCTTGGATTCGAACCAAGGACTCACAAGCTATCTCAGCAGGCCCTTCCGCGGCCCTACATCATGAGGCTAGTTGTGTTACCGCTACACCAACCGGGCTTTCTGTTGTTGTTGGATGAGAAAGACCTTGTCTGGCTTTTAGCTTCTCTGAGTGGCGCAATAGATACACACGCGCGATGAAAGTGGGTTAGAAGCCTAAGGGAGGGGGGGGAGGCCGCATTATAGAATGCCTATTTTCATGAATGATCCTATCCTATGTGACCTTGACGATAACCTTGAGAAGCACCGTCAAGATTTCCTTCCAAAGAATCTATGGCAGATGTCTGAACGCATCCAGCCAAGGTTATACCATATGAGTGGTGTCGGGCAGTCTCCTTCCCCTACTAGACCGCGCCGACTTTTCAACTTTTGACCTCGTCAGCCTTCCCTTGAGCGGCATCCAAATGCTCCATGGTGTTGACTCTCCACAAAACAGGAATATCCTCCTTACTCGAGTCTGCTCGTATCGTTAGCCTCTTTTCCACCACCACCACTACTCAAAGTAGAAAGTAGGAGTCTCACCATACCTCTCAATCAGATGCAACCCACTTGCCGTATCCACAATCCCACTGATCTCGCCGGGTTGTAATGCAAAAGCAGCATCCTCGAACTCCTTCTGCATATCTCCCCTTGCGAAGTATCCCAGATCGCCCTTCTTCCTCGCGCTGGAGCAATCACTCTCCGTCTCGGCCAGGTCTCCCAGCTTCACCTCGCCAGACTTGATCCTCTGCTCGTAGCCCTTGAGGATCTCCCTCGCCTCGTCCTTGGTGCGGGTGATGTTGGCCTCCCTCCAGCTCGACGGTCGGCGGGACTGGTTGTGCTTCACCAGCAGATGCGCAGCGCGGATCTTACCCGGCTGCGCGCCGCTGGCGCCCGGGTTGAAGGCGCCGGAGTGGTATTTGGCCATGTAGATCTTGAGCTTCTCGACATCGGTGCCGGAGGGCGGCTCCCAGCGGGAATTCTTCTCGGCGGCATTGAAGTAGTAGGGCAGGTTCTTGGAATTGGAGTGGCGGACTTCCCAGCCGGCAGGGAGACCAGTCTCAGCTTGCTATGGAAGGCAAAAGCCTTCATCAGCGGCGTGTCGTCATGGGCAAAGCTAACGGATAGAACTTACGTCGGCCATTTTAGAGCTACAGGTAGGTGTTCTGAAGAAAGGTAAGGTATTATTTACAAGGTCCTCCAGTCTAAGTGGGTGTCAACTGTAAAAGACTTGATTCCTAGAAGTATTGTTCCAATTCGATGCAAAAGCAGTAACGGAAGTTGGGGTATATAGCTGGCTCGCGGTCTTGATGTGACGTTCATCAGTGATGGCAGCGGGGGCGTTGAAGCTGAGATGGTGCAGATGGGCGGGCTTTAAGCTTGCAAGTGGAGGCGGGGTCAGACTTGACGTTGCCGTTGCCCAGGGCGATGTCGACCTGCATTGGGGTGGATCCGCACATACAGGGATGTCACAAAGGCAACGCGGGGTGAGTTAGTCCCCAACCGGAAGCATTCCTCAGCCTCACATGACGGGCCTTCCAGTAATAACCTTGAGATAATCAACAAATACGGCATTATGGTGCGCGCATGGAGTATGGCATGAGTGTATTCTGCCCTCCTTTGTATCTTACTGCGTATACCGTACTTAGAGAAGTTTACATCATCCGGCTTAGACATGGCGTTTGAAAGTCCTCGGGATGCAGTTGTGTATACATGTAGACTGTCTTCTTGGCTGCGAGTCACGAACTATTAATGGAGGGCGGAATTCCCAGGCTATCACTAAGGTACATGGTGCAATTTTATGTAACGGTGGAAATGTGCTCAGTTCGAGCTCAAGTGAGATATGAAGCTTGGGCGAAGCTTTGTTCTGGAGCGTCCTTGACTTGCCCCACACCTGACAATGATACGGCTGCCCGATTTTTAAGCTTCCTGACTGCCAAACGGCTTCAACATCAAACCTTTAAGCCAACCGAAAGCTGTCACTTCACTTCAACTTCGACAACTCGGAAAGGATTACCCATCATCGAAAAAAAAAAAAAAGAGGTAGACGCGGTCTTCCCTCTCAACCCCTCGCGAGCGCACAAAGCCACCTCTAGCCATTCTCAACACCTTCCAACCCAACGCAACGACAACTCTTTGAGCTCATTGACGCATAAGAAATCACCTAGGGCTTCGACGCGACAGACCGAGTCACGAAATGGCTAGCAGCCCCGCCGCTTCGACCACGTCGCAAGACGACGCACCCAAGGCGAAGAAGCTCGAGCAGATCACCTTCCGCTTCTGCTCCGAATGCAGCAACATGCTGTACCCCAAAGAAGACGAAGAGAACCACAAGCTCCAGTTCGTCTGCCGAACATGCCAATATACGGAGGAGGCAACATCAACATGCGTGTTCCGGAACGAGTTGAACGGAGATGCCGGTGAGACGGCCGGTGTGACACAGGATGTTGGATCTGATCCGACGGTGGGTAAACCCTCCTTAACACCCTGTTGTCTACCCACGATTCCCCGAGGCTGGGCTCTTGCACACGACTTCCCCGATATTGAGGATGTTATCTCCTGTATCCACTGCCATAGGAGGCTGGTGAAGATACCCATCGCACATTACCTTCAAGAGGGAGAGATCGACCAGAGCAGCGAGGAGTCGCTTATCACCACCCTGATGCACAGTGGCTTCCTCCTTCCCATGGATGAGTTGCTAGAGTACGCAGGGGAGCAGGCCACAGACAAGAAATGGCCTCAAGACGTGTTGCGCCAGCTTCTGACGGAATAGAGTGGCTGGCCTTCCTTGTTCGCCACTCTGTCATACCTTTTTTCTATTGTCCTCTTCTTCATGTGGCCGTCCAACTTCATGTTTCCTATCTTTGTCAGGCCCCCGCCATGACCTTAGATGAGCTACAGTCGGACTGACATTCTTGGATTCTTTCTAGCTTCCACGATCGAACACTACGTGTCCGGAGTGCAAGCATCCGGAAGCTGTCTTCTTCCAGTCGCAGCAACGGAGTTCTGAAACAGGAATGGTAAGTTCTCCTTGGCTGTGTCCGTTTGAAACTCTCCAACATACTGACATGTTTTCCATAGGCTCTATTCTACGTGTGCTGTGACTGTGGTCATATCTTCCAGACGATCCAAAAGTGAGAGGTTTATGTTAGTATTATACATACAGGTGCACTGTTTGCGGTTTTGTATTTGCATGGCTCGGCGTTGAAGAAGGATCAACTTCGAACACATGTGATGTGTTGGAAGTGGTTTGATGGGCGTTTCCGGAAAATATTGCTTTTTGTCTCCGAGCATTGAATGATACGTGCGAATGTGAGGGCCTCTCTTCGGCTCATGGATCTCGTCGGCTCAAGGGACGCATCAGATACTGAAGAATCCAAGTCAATTCAGTCCAAGTCTGGACATGGCTACCACGCAACGCCAGGGCACGATGCCCAACTATATGCATATAATACAACCCTTTCGTCGTAAATCCGATAGTACACTCGACAAATGCCTGTCGAAGATATTGCTTTCCACTCCATCCTCCACCTTATTATACCTGCATAGGTGCCATGGACAGGATCTTGCTCCATTTCTTCTTCCTCAGCTCGGAACCGACAGCGCCGTTGATGCGACTGCCCACTGGATCGCCCGCCTTGTTAATGAGTACGCAAGCGTTGTCCTCGAATCTGATGGAGCTTCCGTCGCGTCTTTGCACCCTGTACCTCGTCCGCACAACGACGGCGTGTCTGATATCTCCTCGCTTGACCTTGGGTCCACCCGATGCCATGCCAGCAGCGTGGGCTTTCGTTTGTTCCTGGACGACGACAACGATGCGGTCTCCTGTGGCAAGCATGGCATGGTTAGCATGAAGAAACAGTTGCAGAGAGAATCAGAGTCGAGGCCAATCAAGTACGCACCTATGGAAGCATGTCTCTTCTGCCCAACGACCATGGCGCATTCGACAAGGGCGGCGCCCGAGTTGTCGATGCAGTTAAGCATCGTCTATCAAGCTTCACAGTTAGTTCAAACTCAAAAGCGATGCTAATTCTCTTCAAGCCCTGGTCAAATATACCTTTAATTGAATCATCTTGACTGTGCTTCACGTTTCCGCCCCGTCACTCCGTAATGTCCCGGTGTCAGTCGTGATACTACCACTTTGGCGGTGATGTCGAAATTCGAAGCAGGCAAAAGTTCGGCTGGCTTAGGTAAGCCTTGAGATCATCCATGCCAAGGCTGCTTCGACCCCGATCAGGAAAGAGCAAGGGGGGGAAACTACCAGGTACCACTCCAGGTCATTCAGCTCGGACCACGTCCAATGGGAAGGAGCCACACAGGAAGCAAGGAACAAGTCCCCTTTACCAGCCTGGCCCTTGTAGCGCATTCCATCTGATTTCCTGGCCAACCGGCAACTCCTTCTCACCTGGGAGAGCGACTTTCTCCCGGGCTTCAGCCCATCGTCAACTCTCCCTCCCTGATTTCTGTATGTAGTAAACTGGGTAGTTGATTGAACGGTCATTCCCTTGATACCATTTCCTTTGTTCTCCAAACACTCAAAGCAATTGCTCTATAATAACGGAAGAGATCGGCCCGCGCCTCATGACGACAGCGGTCTCCTGGATCAGCAGCGCATATAGTCAGGCAGTGCATGGATGTGGTCGCATCAGACAAGACCGCACAGCCTGCAGCCATAAACCTTCCGTCTGACCTACAGCCAACACCGCAGTCATCACTGTAACTCCACTCGGGCCTGACTTCCCGTTTCTGTCTCGTTCCCAAGACAAGTCGACCGCCAACTGTCCGTTTCTCTTGCGACGCACTGCCCATCCCATTAGCTGGCACAGTCTGGGGTTTCGAGGGAGAATATCGGCGTCCGGCCTTACAGTTGGCGCTCATCACTACAGGAAGCGACTGCTCACCTTCTTTTTTTTTTCTCTGGTTGCCGGTTCGCAGTCAACATGCCGTCGCGAACGTCCACGCCAGTGCCCAAGCGGCAGCAGCTGACTTTGGCTCAATTGGCCGCCTACGACGACATCTGTACGGATGCGCTAGTGGACCACGTAAGTTTGTGTGGTGAACAGTCGTAAGCGAGCAGCCCA